TAAAGTTCTGGGTTGATACAAGTGGGAATAAATGATGGACAAAATCCAAGATGGGTTAGGTCAGATGTCTATCTAAAGAAGATAATGTCTTGCAAGTGAAAAAGGAAAACTGATAATTCACTATATGTTCATTAAGAAGATAAATATAAATGTATATAGTAGTACAGCATAATTTTATTCAAAATTCATGCTTCTACACAAACCCACATCTAAAGTGGTGAAACTATTTATGGAACCCTCTGGTTAGACATGAATACTATTTCATACAAATGTAAGAGAACAACACAATCCTCACGGTTATCAGATAACGTATATCTTTTTGAAATAAAGAAATACAACATTAACACGGAAAACATAGTGTAACCTCTCTTCAAGATCCAGTCATTCACCTCTAAAAATATTAGTACAGAATTGAGATGATGCAGAAGAGAACTACTAGAGTCCAAGAACACTGAGAATATTGGTTTATTTAGTAAACAATATGAATGATATCTATAAATACTTCAAAGTGAAAAACACTAGTGTGAGTGTCGCTAGAAGGGGACTACTTAAGATAAAGGACAATGCTGATATAAAAGTAGAGGAGTGTAAAATGATCAGTGATAAATCTAAACTGGAACAAGGGAAATGGCCTTCCACCAGCACTACTGCTGCTGTTACTAGTTTATGAAATGGATGCCACATCACATAATGGCATAATACAGCAGCGAAATATTGCTTTGGCCCAGGAGGTCCTTTTCAGTCCAGCGATAGAATGACATAAATATAAGAAATAACCCTCCTTATCCAAGGTAATTTTGACGCTTTTTTTTTAAATCTAGGGAGCCTCTCTATCAACTACTTGAATTAATAGCATCATCTGCTGTCCCTGCCATTGTACCTGATATTCTTCTCCCTAATCTGTTGGGCACAGACTGACACAAACAGCATTGAGACTGAAAGGTGGCAAGAGAAATAACCAACAACTGTTGGTTATTTGTGTTGTTTGTGTAATACACAGTTATCACTTGATAACGAGGAGTGAGGAGGTGTGTAAGAACTCATAACCACCCTCTGAAACGCTGCTCCCATTCGCTTGAGTTCAAGGAATGATACATAAGAGTACTGGTTTTAAGATAATATATATATACTGAAGTGCGTGTCTGTAAGGTAATAATGCATTGGCTGTAACAAATACACAAGCAGTCACAAATATATTATTGTTTCTCACTATTTTCTACCCATTTGAGTTTGAATACTGTACACCTTCCTGATCAAAACTAGGGCTTTCCTCTGGCATTAAGCAACACATTTTTAATGGTCACCCAGATGAAAGCTCAACAACTGAAGTGTTGACCTTAAGTGCTGTTAGGAATCACATTGCATGACTAGATGAATTCTCAAAAAGAGAGTTGGAATGTGGACCTGTTTTAAAGCCCTGTGGTTCATTCTTGCATTTCCAGTTAACCTGTACTCTTCCCTGCCCTTTCAATAGTTAGCAACTTAATCCAGAGCCTGATTTCTCCACAATCACATATTTTAGTACTTGCCTCATTTCGCTAATTCCAAAATAAAGCATGCTAAGGTTCTTGCTAAGGTAGCAAGATCAGAAACAGAAGATTAAGGAAATAATTACTGAAATATCCAAATATGAAACATTTATTGCTAGTTTGGTTTTTTTTTTCTATTTCACATATGTGAAGATTTTCATGCTTATTTTGTAACTTCCAACAAAGAAACAAAGTAGTTGATGACAAAAGGGATCTGACAGTATGCTGGCACTGGAATGGTACATTTTCCTCTGTCATTCTCAATTAATGGTCTTAATTGGTATTTTTAAAATTAAAATACTGATGATGTTAGTTGAGTTGTTCTAAACCACAGTTTTCTACACTGCCTTTTTCAACACCGTGGTCCTTTCACACCCCAGGGCTTCACTATGTTTTCTGATGCTCACAAAATGAAAGGAGAGGGATTTGATTTTCTATCAGATCAGCTTACTAAACGTTAACTCAGGTGCAGTCTCTACATGACATAACTAAATGATTAATGTCAAACTGTAAAATAGTGCCACCAGCTGGAGAGCCTGACAGATGAGCACACTGTGGAGTATACAAAAAGCAGTGACAGGTATTAGAAAGCATAACATTTGAATGCTACAGAAAACAAAGACTGCTTTTCCTTCAATAAGAAATCAGATTAATGCCCTATTACAAATTACAGCTCTATAGCTAAAGAGCTTTAATCCTCTAGCTGTTCGTTGCTACAATCGTGCTCAGAATGTGGGAGATGGCAAGGGAAAGGATTCCCCTTCATGTCTTAAATACATGTTTATTTTCCAAGGATTGCTGCATTAGGATGTCTTGGGTAATTGGTCACAGAAGTAGTAATGTCATTTCAAAACTAACAAGCATTCACCTAGAATACCAGCAGCTGGTGCTAACAGTGAGAAACTGCAATGAGGAAAAGGGACTTCAAGATAAAAGCTATTCTGTTGCTATTTAATGAGGGATCATGAGGCACAGACTTCACAAAGAAGTCAGGAAAAAGGCATTTACACAATAAGACTCAGATATTCCACTGATGAAGGACTCCCTCGTCCAAATTAAAAATAACCCAAAAGATTGTGGATGGGAAAATAATCACTCTGTTTTAACACGGAACAAATCCTTTTTGGTTGTTTTCATTCACTTCACAGTCAGAGAGAAACAAGACCTTAGAAACACACAGTTTTTAAAGTGGTTGGTCTGCAGCATGCACATTTGTTCTCTGTAATTTAAAAGGACCAGTGCACTAAACCACGTTGTTCCTAATGATTAGAAAAGATTATGAACATGCTTTAATAGGAAAAAGAAATACTTCAGGTCTGAGAGTACAAAATTGTACTTGCCTATCAGAACAGCAATTCCCACTGAAATTCTCTTGCCTATCAGAACAGCAATTCCCACTGAAAGCAAATCGTATGCTAATTCAATTGTGTATAATCACCAGCTCCACCTTGGTACCTTAATGAACCGTGCTCTTACGTGAGTGTTTCTGACTTAGAATCTTATCATATTTACCTGTATTTTCTTGGTACTTGTTTTTGGCTGCAATAAAGAAATACTCTCTCAGGATAACACCTCCCTTACCATTTAGAGCCTATTATTGCCACAGCGGGCAGATACAGCATATTGCATATATATACCAGCTCTTAAACTTAGAAAATGGTTATAACAAGACTGACAAAATACTTTCTTGATTTTTCCTCTTCTGGCACAGAGAAAGAGAAATGTTCAATTCAATAAGCTGCATGTTGTGGAATATATATAAAATGAACAAAATGAGCATTTTCTGTTAAAAGAAATTGGCTTAATCAATCAACACACACACACACAAAAATCCTTATTTGCAGTGTGACCTCCATGAGTTAAGGATTTTAGTCCTTTCCAAACCTTGTCATAGTTTCTAAACAGTTGTTCTACTGCTAATCTCAGTTCAACCATTCCCATTAGCAGCAGCAGGAAACCTAAGGAAAACAGACTTCTGGGTGTAAAGCCATGGTCTCAAAGCCATCCTTCATAATCAAAATGAACTCCTTTCCTGAAAACCTTGCCAGCCATTTTCAGCTCAGTGCAAGTACTCCTCCTTTTCTTTCTTCTCCTTCAGTTTAAGATCCATAAGCTGGTATCTCTACCCCTTTCCAGAACCAATTCCTACTACTATGGCAGCAAACCTGTTGGGTGGTGTTGGATGCTTGCTTTCACTTCCTTACTATCTATCATGCCATAACCTACTAGATTTCCCTTTATCCATACTGACCTTAAAAACCAGAAAATTAACAAGCCCCCATAGTTGCAAATAAAACATAAAACAGGAAGAAAAGAGCACACGCTTCCCTCTCCCTTTTTTACAAATTCAGATTTGTGTAGGAGCACTTTCCTAGAAATGTCCATTAAATACATTTCCTGTTTATAGGTGACTTCATTTAATACATTTCTAGTCCTGTAGAAAGTCACATCACCATTTGACACATTAACTGCGTTAGTGTGAAACACAAGTTATTTTGGACATTTTCTTACCTTCGTGGTCACACTGTCTCATACCTACACTGCAGTGCTTCACTGAACTTACTCTACCTCAAGTGAAAATATATGTGTTTTGAAATTTCCAATTGCAGCAGCAACAGCATATATATGTTCCTGGTGGGAAGCACTTTGGCTGTAGGACTTTGTGCCACAGATGTCGAATCTCTGAGACTTACTCTTCACTGAGTAACTCCACTAGTAGCTGTTTGCCCTTTCTGGGTAAATGATAAGAACACACCGGAGGACTAGTAGCAGCCAAATGATACTAGTCTGTGTCCACATTACAGGGTTGTTGTGTTTGGAGCGTCAGGCTGTTCTATCCTGAGCTTTAGCCTGAAGTATTTGATGGGAGTATTATTTGAATTCAAAGGTGGCATTTCAAATTCCATACCATATTCCTGTATGCGAACTGGATTTGAACTAGAGCCAACGTCTGAAGGTCAATATAAGTTAACTCTGAACTATCTCATTAGCATCAAAAGGGCTAATGCTCTATCTAGAGGTTTAGTTGTTCATTTGTTTCATTTTTGTCAAAGCCACAGACAGAAGTCTTCCATTCGTCTCTTAACATTACAAATATATTCGATAGCAAATAATATTTAATCATATGTTCTTGAATATTTATATGAAAGAACATGGCCACAAAATAAATACACTGTGAAATCAATCAGAATTGTTTTCTTAACAGTAATTACATGAGACATCTAAATCCTTAGACTGCACTCTTTGTTCTGGGAACTTTATGACATGATTAAGTTTAATAAAAACAGATCTACCATAAGTACAATTATGAAGACAGCTCTACCCAAATGGATGATATTTCTCCTCTGTTGCCTCCTCCAGAAGTCCCACTATTATTGTCCCTTTAGTCATGGTATCTTAAGATAAGAAAATATTCCATAGAGTTTAATAAAATAAAATAAAAAAAAACCCACATTTTAATCAATTACTTACCTTTAGGAGAGCCAAAGCTACATGGAAGATTATGTTCATACCCTGAAAAAAAGAAGAAAAAGACTTCAATGAGTCCCAGCTCACAAATCTCTCTTCCCTGCTACATATCACTATGTAGGATCATAACTAGATGCTGCAAATCTCTAGGGAACGCTTCCCTTTTCCCTGCTACACTTCAAAGTTGATCATTAAAGCCCAAGGCACAGTTTCCAAACTCCCAGCTGGGGAAGATGACAGCTCTTTGGAGCTTTTGGAATCTCACTGTTCAATTCATCAGGTGCTACGGATGTGACAGGATACCCCTCCATCATTTCAGGACCTGTCAAAGCTGGTTTTCATAAATAGTGTCTGCGCCATTCAGAATACTGTAACAAGCAGAGCATAAAGAAAATGTGATAAATATTCTAGTTGATAGGATTTTTGCCAACTAACTGAGCTTAGCTATGATTAATCATGTACAATCTTTTATGCTCAAACTGTAAAAAGACTAAAATAAAGCAAAAAAGATCCTACAAGAACACAAAACCCCTTTTTTGCTGCTATTACCCAAAAGTCAAAACTATTTCAAAGGTAAGCATACTGATGTCTGCATCAAATAGTTGCTTTATGGTTTGCAAAAGCTGGAAATACAAGTGTACAGAAATCTACTCAGTGAAAAACACAGTGACAATATCCAATTATTTAAAAATCAAAGAAAGTAAAAACTACTCCACTGACTCCAGAGGGGTGAAAAAGGCTACACTTCCACTTATACTGTATATAAAGATAAGAAATACCACTCCTCCACTGTTGTTCAACATCTTTTTGTTTTGACAATTAGTAAAAACTACTCCACTGATTGACTCCTGAGGGGTGAAAAAGACTACACATCCACTTATACTGTACATAAAAATAAGAAATACCACTCCTCCCCTGTTGTTCAACATCTTTTTGTTTTGACAATGAAGACCTTTACATTTTTGCAGGGGGAAGGGGAGCACATACCCTGAATGAGGCTCCTCTGGAGCAGCCTAACTGAAACCACTCTTGGAGTCCTGCTTGGAAAACTATCCAGGGGCTGCTCAGGCCAGAGGACACAAGACAACAGCCTCGCTGGCAGCACACACATTGCCTCTGCTGTTGGAAGACACTCTCCTGTCTGTAGCCTATGTATCTTGATTTAATATTTAAGATTATAAATAGCTTTGTGTTCATCCCCATATGAAAAATACCATACACACTTCTCGTCTGCACTTTGTGTTCAGACTTTTCCTAGATTATATTTTCCAAATCTTCTTGCCTGCTTGTTAATGGCATAATAAATCTTTTCTTATAATGTCTTTCAGGGCCGGTATCTAAAAATGTCTCAACAGACTTGCACGCAAGTAATACTGTCACTGCAATACATACTGTTGTGGGATAACAACAGGACTTTTTATAAGGGAACCTCCTCCAAGAATATTTCCTTCTGCAACTGAGTATTTTTCTGAGCCTCTTCCTGAAAGACTGAGACCATATTTCTGTGAAAATTAGCTTTTAGAAAACCTGCAGAGACTTTTCAGAGGCATTCTTGGAAAGAAATTCTATTTGTTTATATGGCTAGTACAGTGCCTTGAAGGGATTTTACCATTAATGAGTCTTGGAAATGCTACAACATTAGACATAATGAATATTGCAGCAATCCATGAACTACTTTGCAACTCAACACATAATCATTATGGCAACAAACTGTCATTTTCCACTAGAGGTCACAATTGCAGCAGGACTGAACCTTGCTTCATTGACAGGAAACCCATCTTCCACATGGGATAACAAATATTTGAAACACAATGGAAGTTATTTTGCTTTTTATATTTTAATTTAAGAGAAAAAATGTCTGGCTGTGAGTTTCAGTTACGACACTGGTAACACTAGAGCACCAGCAGCAGTAAATGAAGTTCATAGTAGTCTCAGTTTTATTCCAAGTATAAATCTGAAGTCAGCAGTTCATTCTACACAGTCACGACATTAGCAACTTTTATTTCCTAACAGAGAGGATTTGGTATGAACATACAAGCTAAAAATGAGAGAGAACTACAAGCCCTCACAAACATTGCGTTTCCTTTTTAACTAACTGGTTGACTATTACATGCAAGTGTGGGGTTATAGAGCAACCAGTGTCCTGTGTATTTTCTGGCACTACCAAAAAACCCCAAAAGAAAACCAAACCAGTCGTGGGGTTACTGAGCAACCAGTGTCCAAAAAACCCCAAAAGAAAACCAAACCAGTTTTCAGTTGTTTTCTGAATATTTTTTTTTTCCTGACTCGCCTGAAACTCATGTTGTTCCTGAATTCAAACTAATCAAACTCTTTCCCGATACTCCTTGTACATGATTGCTCTTCACATGGATAGCAAATGCAGTAGAAATAGGTTTCCTCCTGCCTTCAGGATACCCAGCTCTTCTTCTAGCCCCACCAGGCAAGGGGCAGCCGAGAGACTCCCTAAAGATACGTGAGATCACCTGCTCAACACACAAGCACCCTAAAATCAGAATATTAAAAGTACTTAAACCCTTCATTTACAGCTGCCTGAGTGGCACTCCATGACTAGTAACAGAAAACAGTCTGCACCTTCTTTTCCTCAAAGGGAGAGAGAGGTAACTCCAAAACCAAGGCAATATTTTAGACCTGAGGCATCAATTGCTGCAGTTTCCTGCTGACCAGCTTGGGCTTTCTGGAACTGACGGGCTAATATACCCCTCTACAGCTGGGTGACTTGGAGGTGGCACCTGGCAACCTATGGTAAGGCTTCTACTCGTGTTTGGATTTACAGCCAGATGCTTCAGATTTCAAATGCATTGCCTTACCCACCCATTTTAACAACACATTTTATAACCACGGATCTACATACTTGAGTTATTTTCTCTAATGCGTGCAAGACTATTCTGACATAGCCAAGTTTAATGATTATGAAAAAGGAGGCTGAGCTCATTTTTCCACAATCTCTTATTTAAAATCCTACTTCATTTACCACACACTGATTTATAAGATTCAGCTTAAACTTCTCCATCTATTTTAGAAGAAGGACCAAAAATACCCATATGCACCAGACATATAAATCATTGCTAGTGCTATCCCTCCAGCAATTTTATAATGGAAACATGAAAGTACATACAAATCATCCACAGGGGAATAGAGAAGGAAGACTGTGTTAAATAAGCTTTGGATAATTACTTTTTAAAACCAAAGGTCATATGTTTAACTAGGCACTTGGAAATAAACGCTTTAATATCATGCAGATCTCATCTCAATATTAAAAGAAATTGCAAATGTGAAAGTTGTCCATAATTACCTAAACACTCATTCGTTTAACATATAACACCCAAACCTAAAAACACACTCTAATTACTAAACAAGAACTGTTTTAAGAGCACTAGAATGGTTAGGGGCTTATCATCATGTCACATTACTTCTCAATTATGTGGCCATTCTCGTTTGTCAACCTGAGAGGCTTTGCTGGGAGCAGACAAATGAAGGAGTGTGCAGCCTGCAGAGCTTGCAGACATTAAGCCCACAGGCGAAGATCCCAGAAATGAGGCATGTGGATATCCTCTTCCAAGGAACTTATAACTAGCCTTTTACAGAAGGCCTGCAGTTTCTATGAGAGCCTGTCTCAGAGGCTTATCTGCCTAGTTAAGCATCTGCACAGTATCTTCTTTTTTTCCAATGTGTTATTTAAGAACCCTCTTAAGCTTGTGTAGAGGCCTAGAGCATTTTAACAGATCTCATTAAGCTCAAGAGCTTTGGAGAAGGAGCAAGATCATCTCAAATCAGACAACTCTTGACTATTCTGCAGTCAAGATAGTAAGATAAAGGTCAGGAAAGGGAAAATTTCAGAGTTTGTGCTGCCGTACAGCCTCCTTATGGCTCCTGCTGACTGCCACGTTGACCATTCTCTGCTTTACAAAGACTTCCATAGGACAGCAGTTACTCAAAAAAGAAGAGCATAGTCTTGTAGAAGAATTTTTCATACCTACCGAGATGACAGTGCTGGGATGGATGCTCACCATCCAGTAGGTCACCATTTAACTCACCAAGATTGTGCTCCATAGAAGCATCTGCTTATTTGAATTACATGCCAAAAGACTGTAGTTTCCAACAGAGATGGTAGCTAACATTCTCAAGGGCAAAATGAGGAAACTGTATCTCCTAAGACTGAACCGTAAAAATTAAACATTTCAACTGCAAACGATACATGTGCACTGAAATTAAGGTTGGCTTAAAATAAGTGGGAATCGTATTATGTTAACTCTCTTGTAGTGAAAGATTTTCACAGTTCTTTAAAAGCATCCGAAGTTCCTTAAACCCTCTGAAGCCAAGATTCCTTCTGCAGAGAGAAGCAATCTTTGAGGTGTCCTCTGCACTTTGAAACAAGATGATTTATAAAAAGCGGCCTGAAAATAAGATTGGAAACAGAGAACAACAGAGGATGGTAAAATGATTTTGTAGGACTCAGTATGTATTCAATAAGATCTCTGAGACAGAGAGGATGTTAATGGCTTCCTCTAGAAATCAGAAGGTATATCTACCCATTTGACCCAGCGATCAGTATGTATTCAATGAGATTTCTGAGACAGAGAGGATGCTAATGGCTTCCTCTAGAAGTCAGAAGGTATATCTACCCATTTGACCCAGCAAATCCACCCAGAGACCAGAAAAAGAGGAGTTAAGGGGGCAGAAAACTCACACTTGCACTAACACTTGCTACTGGCAAAGCTCAACAGCCAAACGTGGAGGGACCAGAAAAAGGGGAGTTAAGGGGGCAGAAAACTAACACTTGTTACTGGCAAAGCTCAACAGCCAAACGTGGAGCTCACAGAAGAGTTAAGCCAAACAATTTAATCATGCAGTATCTGGACAACACTTGCATAGGGGACAACTTTGGAATTTATCTCCTGTTTTAAAGCTTCTCTTCAATGAGCCTTGGGAGAAGGTAGGTTGTATTAAATACTAGTATCTCCCCCTCTCCAATGCAGATAATCTGACAACCTTCCTCTGGTTACATGGCAATACCCTCTTCCCTC